GGCAAACGACGCAGATCTCGACTTCGCTCGAGGCGTGCGCTGCGAGCTTGGCTGGCCTTACAAGATACGCCGCTCGCACGCCTTACCACGCCGCATGATGCTCAGGTTTCCAACGCCCGCATCAACAGCCAGCGACCGTTCTTGTCGGCGCTGCCGTTTGTCACGGTCCTTTCATGATGAAGACGACCAATCTGAAACCGCAATGCACTATGTATCGACACATCACGAAGTGTAGGTCTTCTTTACTCCCGCTCACCACAATCACAGAGCTCATCTTGTTCCATAGCCTCTTGGACCCGAGAAGTTCCTTCCGGCGCGATGGACACGTCTCTCGAGGTTGACTGCTTTTGGCGTGTACCCCAGCATTCTTTGTGGTTCCACTACTTCTCTGCCGTTCCGCCGCGTCTCTGATGTGCTTGTATGACAAACTTTACTTTACTCTTTGCGAGGGGACAATCACTTGAGCCATCGACTTGCGGGGCTATCGTCTGATGCTAGAGGAGACTGGAACACAGGGCGAGGCGGTGGAGGACGACTTTCATGTAGAGTTGCTAAACCGCATCATTTCAAGTAACGTTGCTACTTATCTGAATGTAAACCTGATACTAGAACGCGTGATATTGAAGAGATGGTACACGGAGGGATAACGAGAAGGGCAAAGGAGAAAAGATGTAAAGAAGGACATCATTCCGATGAGACGGATGGTCATGGTTGTGGTCGTGAGTCGTTTACCAGTCCCTCCAAAGCCTTCCTCAGTTGGGAAGTGTCACTGCAGACGGTTGTCAATGACATGTAATGGAGACTATATTAGCTGAAAAGACGTACACCTTCCTTCGAATGCATCCTTGTAGTGCTTCTTCAGAGCCTTGTGAGAAGGCTCGACGCCTTCGAGCGCAACGACGAGGGTCTGGCAGGACTGGGAGACCGCGCAATCACGGAGGCGGACGGGCGACCAGTGGGGCATCGCGTCAGACTCGTTTGAGACGAGCACATTGATGATAGTATGCCTATCCACTCCGAAGTGCTGCCACGCCTGGATGTGATCATCCATCCGGATGGCCGCTCCAGGAGTTCGCTGAGCGGAGAGATAAAACCGACCTGGCTCTTCTCTCGGCTATGGACAAGGTGAACAAATCGCCAAATCGTAGCACATGTAATAACGTACGGCATGAAATACATGAATCTCGACACGGAGGTTATTGAGTAGAGCTGACGAGTGCGTTCGTACCGGCCCGCCCCCCGTGGATTGAGAATGCGTGCTAACACGGCGTTGGCTGGGAACGATGGTGGCATACTTGAGCCTACGAGAGGGCGTTTTGTACACGGGGGACGCAATCCCTTCGTCGCGTTGCGCCTCCTCAAGACATTTGATAATGTCTGCGGGCAGGGCCCCGAGGTCGCGCAAGTACGCGAGGCTGAGGTGGCTGAGCGGGGGGCTGATGAATATACAAAACGGGCCCTCGCCGAATTCGTCGAGAGTGTGAACAAAAGGGTGAGGTTGGGAGCACTGTAGATCGCGAGTAAGTATGGAAGTCTGAATCCGCGATCTGAGGGTATGACGTACGGAGACCGCGAACCTCCCGCGATTCGGAGTGTCCTCCAAGCAGACCAGCGTCGGGCCTGGGTAGTCAGGCTCGTGGCCATTAATCGTGCAGCGCTTGCGCACGGCCTCGAAGTCTTGTTGCCTCGGTACGTCGATGAGGACGTGGAGGTGCCGCACGAACATGCGGGCCCGCTCGAGAGCTGGAAGGTATTTTACTCGGGGCGTAAGCTGGGACATGGTTCTGAAGTGAAACGGCCCATACCCATTCGGAAGCCCACTTTATAGGCAGCAACACGGTCTCGCCTTCGGTCCTCGGCTGAGTAGGGGGCGATGCTCAGCCGGGATGAAATGAGATGGCGTCGCGAGCCCTCCCTAACCTTAACACTTGATCAAACTTGGCGCGTAGACGATTACCTGGCGCTTCCAATAGCACAGACGGGTTTTCACGTCGCCGTACCATGATCTCGCTTGCCGAGCTGTCCGATTCGGAATAGAGCGCACATCTTTGATTTCTCGACATCCCGCAAGGGGGTCCAATGCGTATGTTTATAAGGAATGCCTACCTGCCTGCGTAATTATCAATCCATCTCCCATTCCAGATCTTCTTCCTATTTCATGGGTTCGTCAATCTTCTTATTTCTAGTGTCGTTACTCAAACATCATTGTACTTACAGACTCAACCCGTACCACCCCCTCCACTCTGGAGAACGGCGAGCAGCTGCCCGCATACAGCGCCGAGGACCCCATGCAGGGCTTGCCACCATATGCGGCGGCTGCCGCACCTTTTATTCAACCAATTGCCGGTGCGGATCCTCCACCGGGAGTCGCCGTGGAGGTACCCTCAAACGCTGAGGCCAGCTCCCGCATGCCTGCACCGTGCCTTCTAGTCCTCCCGATGTAGGCGACGTCCACATATACAGCGCTAGTATTGTTAGTGGTCAACAAAAGCCCATCGAATAAGAGCCCATTCGATATATTCGAAGCCTTAGTAAAGATTGCCATCCTCGGGCATAAGTTAGAGACAACGGCCTCTCCCATTCGGGTGAACGATCCTGAAACAGGAGGTAAAGAACTACGCCATGATGTGGGGCGCACGTCTCCGGGCTCATGATCGTTCGCCATTGGAGTCGACGGTCTCGAAATAGGGCATGTAAGAAACTACGCGATGATGGGTAGCGCATGTCGCCGAGTTCATTACCGTTGTATTCCATGTGCCCCGGATGATCGACCTTCATATGCTAAGCGACTTCGGGAGGCACGTACCGAGTCGCAGCGGAGACCTTCAAGCGAGCGAACTTTGCTGTTAAAGACATTGCCCATGTCGACAATGGAAATGAGGGTCAAGAACAAAGGTGGGAAATCCAACTTGCTGCGTCTTCGGGACAGGCCTGGTTGCCACGCGAGCCGCCCGCGTCATGGCATGTCTCTCACACGCCCTTATTGTCGAACCACCATCATGCAAGACTCTGTTCGCGCATGCTCGTACTGTTGCCGCTACTTTTGGGCCTCTTGAGCCATGACGGCATGTCGTCAAGTCCCACAACGTGAACATGCGACCGTCG